AGCATAGAGATACAGATGTGGCCTGGGATAGTGGGCTCATTGAAGGGGAATTTGTTTCAGAGCAGAGGATCTGACCACCTAAATCCCCACCACACCCCAACTCTGGCATTTTGCAAAGACCAGCCTGTGCCACACGAATCTGGGTGGAGATCAGAGACCCACAACGCTGCCACCCCCCACCTTGTCTAATTCTGTGCTATCTGGGGTGATTAATCTTGGGTATAAAGGGTGGCCCGGATCACAGTCCCCAGAATATGGTCTTGAGGGTAGTTTAGGACCAGCAGAACTAGTTGATGGTGGACTTGGATGTTTCTTCCGTGCCTCTCTACCATATACCCACCCCTCTTGGTCCCAGGTGCCCAATGCCTCAGCCCCTGCAGACAGGGTTGGAAGGGGAGCTTAGCCAACATGGGCACACTTTCAGCAACCTCATTGGAAGGGACCCCTGTGTAGATGCTGAGGGCGGTGACGTTCTGCATGTTCCAGCCCTTGTTCAACATGAGGAGGTTGCATCAGGAAAGGCTCAATGGGGCAGGGAGAAAAGTGCAACAATGAATGAATGGAAATCCAAAGTCTCTGTAAATTTTCATTAAAATTAATAAAAAAATGATTTAAAAAAAAAGGCTCATTGGGATGGAAAAGCCAGTGATGTCTGGAGCCATACTTGGTGCAGCTGGGGAAAATTCTGGAATGCATCTAACCTGAATTTGCCCCAATATAGGTTCCATGGAACAGAGTCAGAGTGGTGGTGCAGTGGTTTGCCCCGCTGTTAATGGGTGGTTCAAACTCACCAGCTGCTCCAGGAGAAAGATGTGATAGTTTGTTCCCATAACAGTTTACAGCCCCAGGACACCCTGTGGGGTAGTTCTACTCCGTCCTGTAGGGATGGGATGCTGTGAGAAGTCACTTGACTAGACCTGTAGTCTAGCATGTGTGTGAGTGACTCTAGAGACCATAGAGGAGACCGGAAAAAAAGCATTGGCTCTGGATTCAGAGAGTCTGACTCCAAACTTTCCTACTTGTTTTGAAGAGTTACTTAACCTAGATTTTAGGGAATCACTTAACCTCTCTGCATTATTTTGTTCCTCTGTAAAATTGGGATTCTGGTTGTACCCTTTTCTTGGCCGATGTGATGATTAAATGAATCAGTTTCCTAAGATGTCATCACATGAGTAAATACTGGCCCATACAAAGGGCCTACAGGTTTCCTTGCTGCAGGACTTCTCAGAGCCTTTGCTGTGCTAATAAACATGGCAATCTCTCAGACCAGGATTGGGGGGGTGGGGGCATCTATCAGGCATCATTTCAGATGTGCCCACAGAATTCCTCTTACTTCCTGGAGCAGATATTCTCTGAGATGTACTTTGGAATTCCAGAGCTTTCTGTTTTGCCCTAGAAGAAATGACATCTAGAGAAGTGAAGTGACCAGACCAAAGTCACACAGCAAATGTCCACTGACAGAACTGGAGGGGAACTCAGTTCCCCTGACTCCTGTCCCAGTGTTCCTTCTTGTATGCATCAGGGCCTTTTAACTAAAGAGCAATGACAACAGTAATATAGTAACTGACATTTACAAAGTGTGTGCTCCGAGCCAGGCGCTGTATTAGTCTCTCTACATGATAAATGATCTTATTTATTATCCAAACCGGTAGGCACTGTATCAGGCTTCACTATACTGGACCCAGAGTGGGGAGGTAATTTGCTCAGCATTACACAGCCAGTGAGCAGCCAATCCAGGGCTTAAACCTACATCTGCCTGTCCAGCCTCAAACCCTAGCTCAGTTACAGCACGCATCATGAATGTCTACCGGTGGAAACTGAGACCTGGGCTAGGGAGCTGTGCCCCAGGAAGAGCTAGTGCCTCTGACCCTCACCCAGCCCCTCGTCTACCTGCTGGATTTCAGAGTTCCCAGCCCAGGCCCTTGCCGCACGCTCGGTCCCTGGCACTGGCTGACCGCTCAGCACCAGCTCTCCTGCCAGACGCGTCTTGGCCGGCCCTGAGTTTGGCAGCTGCTCTGATGGAAGCTGTTCAGCGCTGAGAGCCTTTTGTCAGCCTGAAATCAGAACGCGCCCTCAACGCGGCTCCCCCTCACTGCTCCCTGTTAAATAAAGATGCCGCGGTTGTTCGACCAAAAGGCCTCTTTGTCTGAGGCCCTCCCGGCCCACGCGTCCTCTGCCCCCGGAATGCCCGTCTCTGTCGGCATGAAGAGCCCCTCTGTTCCCAGCTGGCTGCGTGGTGAGCGGTGGCCTGGCCCAGGGTCTGCGCCTAGGATGTGTGCAGTGCACTGAGCTGGGAGGCGATCGCTCTTTCAGCCTTCTCCTGCCCTCCTCTCCCCTTGCCCCTGGCAGAGACTCTGGACACCACCCACTGGGAGCCCTGGCAGTGGGCTTCTGCTGCTTCCTCGAATATACTGACTTCCTTCAATGCCCTCTTTTAAAATAAGCCCTAGAGCCCCTTCTCCTGACTGTACACATGCCTGACTTCTCCTCCTCTTCCTTCCTCCCTCCTTCTCCTTCCTCAGTTTCCCCTTTTCCTCCTTCTAAGGATAAAATAGACCACATATGTGCGATGAAGACCTCAGCATGTTGCAGGAGGCAAGCTCCCCTCACCCCTATCTTCTAAGCAGGGGCATGGGCTCTGTCACTTACCTCAGTCATGGTTTCCACCCAATGATCTCAGTATCCTTATTGTCCAAGGAGGCTATGGTCATTACCTCCAGGGGGAAAGGAGATGACCCGTCATTAGAATGTATTCTTAGAAGGGGACAGACCATTCCATGCTCATCCCTTTTAACACCAGGGCACAGTATCTTGGGCTGTTTGTTAATTGAAGGATGAGTGAAGTGTCTAGATGGAGCCTGATACATGATGGTGGTGGTGGTGTATAGTGTCAAGACAGAATTGACCCATAGCTGACCTTCTGGCAGGTTTCCAGAGGCAGTTAATTGCACGGGAAGAGATTGCCCATCTTTCCCCCATGGATCATCTGGTGGGTTTGAAACACTTGTCTTTGGAATTGCAGCACAGCTTTGTACCACTAGGCCACCAGATGGGAATTTCCCTTATTTTCTATTTCTGGGTTATTTGTGGAAATGTAGCATGCTAGAGACTCTTGAAAAGCCATGAACTTGAAAAGGAAAGGCTGGGAGCGACATAGTGCCACCTTAGTGGTCTATCCTGGTCTTGTCTCATCTCGTGCCATCTTCCTTTGCATGGGTTTGACGTCATGAAGAGCCTTCATGATGGGATGCTTAGTACGCAGTGTGCCATGATTGAGCTGTTGTCTGGGCAACACACAGACAAATGAAGACTATCCCTTCCCTCTTATTCAACGTTATAATTATACTCATGGAATCCTTGACCATATTAGCCTCTCCCCCTCTGCCATTATTATGCCTTGCTATTAGACAGAGTCACTGTACCAGAAGGAATTGGCTGACACAGAAGAATTTCATGCAATAACCTATGAGCAAGAGCCTGTGGTGATGAAGGAGGAAGTTCAAACTGCTCTGAAAGATTTGGCAAAAAACAAGGCTCCAGGAGTTGACGGCATACCAATTGACATATTTCAACAGACACTGTCGTGGATGTGCTCACTAAGTTGTGCCAAGAACTCTGGAGGATAGCCAGCTGGCCAACTGACTGGAAGAGATCAATATTTGTTCCCATTCCAAAGAAAGGTGACCCAACAAAGGGCGGAAATTATCAAACAATATCATTAATATCACATGCAAGCAATATTCTGCTGAAAATTACCCAAAAACAACTGGAGCAACACGTCAACAGAGAACTGCTAGATGTGCAGGCTGGATTTAGAAGAGGCCATGCTACTGGGGATATTATAACTAATGTTAGATGGATCTTGGCAGAAAGCAGTAACAGAGGAATATCTATCTGTGCTTCATTGAGTATGCAAAGGCTTTTGACTGTGTGGATCACAACAAGCTGTGGCTGACTCTGAGAAGAATGGGAATCCCAGAACATTTGACTGTGCTTATGCTAAACCTACACTTGGACCAAGAGGCAGTCGTTAGAACAGAGCCAGGAGACAATGCATGGTTCATAATTGGAAAGGAGGTCCACCAGGGATGTATTCTGTCTCCATACCTTTTAAATCTGTACACAGAACAGATCATCGAGGGTGCTGGGCTGTACGAGGAGGAATGTGGCATCAAGATTGGTGGAACTTTCGTCTACAACCTGTGTTATGCAGATGACACAACCCTGCTTGCTGAAACTGAGGAGAAACTAAAGCACTTGCTGCAGAAGGTCAAGGACTACAGCCTTCAATACGATTGAAGCTCAACATCAAGGAAACAAAGATTCTCACCACTGGGCCAATTGGCAGCTTCAGTATGGATGGTGAAGAGATTTGGATAGTTAACAGTTTTAGTTTGCCTTACACCCTGTTCTTTTCCTTGTTAGCTATTATCCACTTGTCATTAAATAATCAATTAAGCAACCCGTGGTTTGAGAATCTGAAAATCAGTATTGGGAGGTAAGGCTAATAGAAGACCTTGGATTGTCAGGACTTGTTTGTTGGGCGTAAGAGAACTGTTTCAAGGTGCAAGATGAATGAATGACTAGTTCTGGAGGACCACAAGACCCTTCTAAGGTCCAGTGGTCATAATTTCTTTTGTTGTTCAATTGAATTTTTATTTAGTTGGTTGCCTGTTTATTTGGTTGGCTCGTTGACTGTAGGTTAGTTGGCAGCCTCGTTAATTATTTTTATTACTCAGGCAGTTAGTTGATTGACTGGTTAATGGCACCTGCTTAGTTGGCCATTGTGTGCTGTTTAGTTGACTGGATGGATGTTTCATTAGCTGGTGGGTCGCTTAGCTTGTTGATTAATTGGCTGGTTGCATGAGTGAGTGAGTGGCTTTGCCTTCCACGGCACAGCCTGTAAGCCTCCCCATCACTATCGACCCAACTGACTGCTTTTGGTCCTCCGAGTCCCCGCCTCCAGGTCTAATGCTCTCTCCCTCCCTGTCTGTCCACAGGCACTTGTCCGGCTGCCTCCCCACATTTCACAGTGTGATGAAGTCTTTCAGTTCTTTGAAGCCCGGCCGGAGGATGTCAATCCCCCCAAGGAGTAAGTAGAGCTTATGTCTTTTTTTTTTTTTAATATGCTTGAGATTTGTGAGCCAAAGCTGAGGCCAACCTGGAGAGGCCAGGAAGTGAGGTACAGAGAGAGGGAGAGTTCTTGGGGCCAAGCAGGCAAAGAGCAGATGGACCAAAGGTGGGGACCATTAGTTCCCACAATCCAACTGCCATGTCAAACTTCACTCCTCATTTTCCCTCACCCTACAGCTGACAGGTGATAATATCTGCATATAAGGAGCAGAGTTCCGGCAAATTCTTTGTAGCTCACGGGTATTAAGGAGCAGACAAGGTAGCGGGAACTATGGTGGATACACTGTTCAGATGTCAGGTTAACAGCCGTTGATCTTAATGCCTAATGCTACAGAGTTCCCTACTGAAATGCAGATAGGACCCATGCTGCCCCTACCAAAAGCTCACCTACAGAACAACTCAGACCATTACAACAGAGTCTATCATCATCATGAAAAACAGTAATGGATGTGTGTGGAGTGTTTGCCAAATGCTAAACAGTAGCCTTATTAACATGGGAGGAAAGTGGGGCCCAGTGTGATTAGGGGAAGGAACATGTGGGAGACTTTGAACCAGGGTCTCTGATGCCTAGTGACCCAGTGCTGGGTGATGTTTCCATGTCGGGTCACCTGATCTAACTTGAGAGAGAGAGAGAGAGGAGGGAAGCAAGCAGGTCTTTTTCTCCCTCTGGCCTTGGGAGACTCTGGGCCTGGTAGGTTCAAACACCCTGCTTAGTTGTGCTGACCTCACATACACATCAATAACTTCTATCCTAATGGCTGTTTTCTCTTACTCAGGGGTTCCCTTACCTACCTGCATCATAGAAGTTCTTAATAGAGTGGGGAATGAAGAGTCCACCAAGGAGATAGGAAATGAAGAGAGCAGCCAGGGAAGGGTGCTGCGTGTGGGGAAGGGCTGGGATGAGGACTGAAGATACTCACCGGTCACTTCAGTCATACCTGCTCTCTTAGAATTTCTAAGTACCAGGTTGGGCCAAAGAAAAGCAGATGGTACAGGTACAACAGAAACAAGGTTAAGAATGGGAGAAGTAGGAGAGAGCCTGAAGGCAAGATTGTTACATTACACAGCTCCTAGGGTGCTATTCACACTGCACTCTGTGTAAATGGTGTTGGGAGAAGTTGTAGAGTACACTGCCCGCACCACTGTACTTGGCAGGCCTGTCTAAAGGAGTCCCTTTGTTTTCATCCATATTGTAAGACTAAAAGCTTGTAAGGGCCTGCACACTATTAGGGAGGAACAGTATCACCCAAGTCAGAGGCTCACTTGGCCATGTCCCCTGCCACAGGCTCAGAACAAGTAAAAGTCATGGGTCATCTGAGGCCCAACAGTGACCTGGTTCACAATGCAGACTGTTGTCATGGTGCAGAATGCAGGTTCTTGACTCCAAGTGTCAACAGCTCTCTACTAGCTGTGTAACCTTGGGGCAAACCACTTGTCTAGCTCCTCTAAGTCTCTTTTCTCATCAATAAAAATGCTCTCCTAGTGGCAAGGAGCTGCAACTACAATCTCAGAGGTGCACGGTTCAAATCCACCAGATGCTCTGCCGGGGAAGGAGGGACAATCTCCTCCTGTACCAGTCAGATCTGATTTGACGGTACACTCACAGAAGAATAATAAAATAAAATTTTTTTAAAAATGCTCTCATTGTCGTTGGTTTAGAACATACTCATAGCTGATCCTTCAGCGGGTTTTCAGAGGCTGTGAATGACCAGGGAGGTGATTGCCCATCTTTCTCCTGCAGCGCTGCTGAGGGATCCCCATTGACTATGCCACCAGAACTCCCTCATTGGTAAAAAGGGGATAGTCATTCATTCCAGCCATTACTACTTCAAAAGGAGTCCTGATGACATAATGTGTTGTGGTTCAGGCTGCTAACTGAAGGGTTGGCACGTCAAATCCGCCACCTGACCTTTGGGAGGAAGACCTGGTGTTTTCGCCTGTAAAGATTTGCAAGCCTTGGAAACTTGCTGGAGGGTCACTATGAGTCAGAATCAGCTCGAGGGCTGTGTTTTGATTTTGATATTGCTAGCTTTAGTGATGGTTAAACACGCAGTTACAAGCCAAATAGGTCAGCAGTTTGAACCCATCAGCTGCTCTGCAGACGATTGATGTGGTCTTTTGCTTATTTAAAGATTTACACCCTCAGAGAGGGATCATCCCTAGTGTATGAAATAGTAGGTATATCATCACCAAATCTGCCCACCTGCCTGTGACACTTAAGCCCTGCGCTCCCCTAATCAGATAAAGACGTAGGTTGATTCTAATCCATGAGTCAGCACGTGCACCCGTGACAACAGGTGAACCCTTTTGCTACCTCCAGGAGCCCTTGAGGAATGGCCGTCACTGGGCTTGGGCACCATTGTACACCAGCAAGGCCGTGAGGTAGAGCTGAGGGCAGGCTTGAGGGTCAGGCTCTGACACCTCTGACCTTGAGAACGAAATCCCTTCATGTCCATGTCCTCGTTCCTGAAAATGAGATAATGCCAGATTCACGGGGTGCTCAGGAGGGTTACTCACATGACCTATGGAGAAAGATGGGTTTTCAGGCTCTGGTGGCCTAGTGGCAAGAAGCCGCACTGCAATCCAAAAGGCATATGGTTTGAGGTCACCAGCTGCTCCGTAGGATACATATGAGCAATCTCATGTGTCACTGTAATCCCTCTGAAAACCCACTGGAATTTCAGCTATGGGTCAGTACCAACTCGACGATATATAACAACATTCTATATACTTATATATATTTTAACATAGATCTAACAAAACTTTCCATTTTAGCCATTTTTAAGTATGAGCTTCATTGACTGTCTTGGTTATCTAGGGCTGCTGTAACAAAAATACCATAAACGGGTGACTTTCACAAATGGAAATTTACTTTCTCATAGTTTAGAAGCCTTGTTGTTGTTGTGTACCATCAAGTTGGAACCAACTCACAGCTGACGACCCTCTAGTGAGTTTCAAGGACAATCACATGGGAGGAGACTGCCAGTCTTTCTTTGCAGAACAGCTGGTGGATTTGAACTGCGTTCCTTAGAGTTGGCTGCATAACTCCTTGCCACCAAGCCACAGAAGTGTGTTTCCTCACAGTTTAGGAGGTTGAATTCACGGTCCCAGCTCTAGGGAAAGGCCTGCTCACTCTGTTGGCTCTGGAGGAAGTGCTCGTCTCTGAGCTTCTGCTCCTGGGTGATTTTATGGTTTGTAATCTCTTCATCTCTGCTTGTTTATTTAATCTCTTTTAAATCTCAAGAGAAATTGACCTGTACACTCTACACTAATCCTGTCTCATGAACCTAACAATCCAACTCATTCACAGGTGGGATGTTACCATGGGCAAAGAGGTTAGGATTTACTACACATTTTAAGGGGGACGCACTTGGATCGAGAACAGTGGCGTAAATGACATTTCCATTGTTGTACAGCTATCACCACCATCTAGTCGCAAAACTTTTTCTCATTCTCAGAAGAAACTCCAGACCCATTAAGCAGTACCTCTCACTTCACCCATCTCCAGACGTTAGTAACCATTAGCGGCAAATCCTCAAAAGAGATGAACTGACACAGCGATTCTATCAGTGGACTCCAGGATATCCAAGATGATGAGGGTGGCACATGACAGGCCAGGTCAAGGATCAGGTGTGTTATTCATAGGGTCTCTATGAGTCTTATTCTAGATACTTTGTGAAAAATAGACTCATAAAATATTTCTCCTTTTGTGTTTGGCTTTTTTTCACTTGGCATAATTGTCTCCCAGTTCATCTGTGTTGTAACCTGTATCAGGATTTGTTTCTTCCAGTAACTGAGTAATAGTCTATTCTCTGTGCAAACCACAGATTACTTACCCCTCCGTCTACTGAAGGACACTTGGATGGTTTCAACCATTGTGAATAATACTGCTGTTAACACTGGCATGCGCGTAGCTCTTGGAGTCATTGCGTTCAGTTCTTTGAGATCCACAGCTGGGCGTGAAACTGCTGTGCCGTCCGGTAGTTCCATGATTCATTTTTTTCTAGGAATAGCTACAAATGTCTTAAGGTGATACTGGCCACCTGGGTCAGCTCACAGCTGGTCTGGCAAGAGATGAGTTGAGTCTGAGAACAAATCGCTCTGGCATCTCAACAGGCCTGAGGCTCAGGATGTGGGGGTTCTGAAGGACTTCCCTTGCACGGCCCCAGCCACCTGTTCCCCACCTTCAGGACCTGCCAGAGACACCTGTGTCCCTTACTGAACATGCTCTCCATAAAGAAACCCAGACCCCACGGTGACCCTCACCAGCAAGCCAGCCATTTACCAAGCCTAGCACCTCCCTCCCTCCAGGCTGCCTGCACCTTCCTGGACCACCTTCCACCTCTCCTCCCTCCGTCCTGAACATAAACATGAGATCAAGTAACAGCATATTTTGACTCTGGGGCGAAGCTTGAGCAGCTTATCAAATTATCAAAGCCTGTGGATTTAATTGGAATTTTACAGATAACCCTGGGCTCTTTCAAGTGTGCTGTGCAGAGGCTCGGGAGAATCCAGGGGGCTCGGGCGGAGGAGATGGGGTTCCTTTACATCTTACATGGAAAGGCAAGGTCTGAGGCAGCCCAGCCTGAGGGGGGGAGGCAGGCAGCCGGCCCAGACCCCTCGGCTTTGATCCCAGACCTGTGCTTCTGTGGAGAGAGGGCTGACCTCTGGACCACTGTGGCTGTTCTTCAGGGCCCAGCAGGAAGTACATGCTCTCTGCAGACCCTCTGATGGGCTTGGTCAGGGCAGCCATGATCGTTTCATGCAGTCCCTGATGAAAGCCACTGACAGCTTCTGTCCTCTTTCCTCTAACTACATTTATTCCTCATTTATCAACTATCTCGTTATCTGACATTTCACATTCACAGTGGTAAAAAAATCTGCTACTAAATTATTTAGAAGCATTAATGACAAACGCTGGGAGCTCTGGTGGCCGAATGGGTGAGGAGTTGTGCTGCC